TTATAAGTTTTTCGCATAAATTAATTTTTTATACATTATAAACCTTTTCCAGTTTAACAACTTTAAAAGAACCTCAACAAACAGAAATGTTATAAAATTGTCATTCTACAGCAGGGTGAATCAGTCGTCTACCAAATCGCGATCTCGGCTTTGCGTACAGCTGCTTTCGGTGCACAGTTTATATCAGAATTTTTGAGAAACACGGTGGTCATTTATTTTGTTGGTTTTTTTTTCTAAATTAGAAGTTAGAAACGATCACTTTTTTCCTCTTCAACTTTATGTGATATTTTAATAAAAAATATAATTTTATTTGATATTAAAATATTCAACACTACTCAAAGTCTTCTTTTTCTTTTCCTCTTTCGCTTTGTAACGTATTTCTAAAGAAAATATGAATTTTGCTGTTGATCTGTGTTATACTTTTTCAGTATTTGTTTACTTCTGCGCTATAAAAGTTTCCTTCTTAATGTTTACGCTTTAAGAAATCAACAAATTTTTGATGTGTAAAAGTTAATGAGTGGTGCAAATTGAGAGCTAATTTTTTAGTTTGATAGAATTCTTTAACTTCTCAGTAACCGTGTACTTTCAGAAAACATATTTTCTCTGACAACTAACTGTATTTTCTCATAATTAGCAAGTTTTTTGACTGTCGTTATCTGATAAAATTATTTGATAATTTCTGAAAAGGTATAAGTGTTACGCTTCTATATTTAAAATAACTTTTGAACCTGAGTTTTTTTCTTTTTTTTTTCAAAAATTTATGTTATTTTATTTCACCTAAAATCAAAGAGTAGACTAAATTTCACGTTAAGATTTTATAGATATGGACTGCAAATTTTGCTTGGCTGCTTTTTTGGTTGTTGTGTGTAGCTGTGTAGCCACTGATGTTGCGATAACGCTCACCACAACGCCATGCACAGAAGATACTGCATTAGTATGTCCAAACAAACTAGGCGATACCGTATGCGAACGTTTCTTTGAAAAACCCACTAAACTCAGGTAATTAACAGCTTTTAACTGATTTTTTGAAGATTTTTACTACGACGTAGACAAAGAAGAATAATCAAATTGCAATGACCATAAATAAGCAAAAGATATCAGTCAATTTGCTTGACTGCTTTTTTGTCATAAACAATCACTTTCAAAATTCAACCTTTTCTTCATGTACCTCATATTGGTTCAGCTTCAAATACAATTAGCTAAAAATTATACGACAAAACTACTGTTTAGTAATGGATGGATAGTAGATGCGAACTGTACCAAACCTGGATACAGAAGCCTGGCATCTCAGTGCCGTCGAACGTGTATGACATGTTGTAGAGATCCGGCATACCGATGCGAAAATAACAAATGTAGGAAAAGCTGATTGCTTAAAAAAGACAAAACATTATAAAAATGTTTTCTGTTATCCCCATTCTAGAAAAGATGTTGCTCAACTTAGTTTCTGCAAATGTAAAGTTATGAGAACAACCTTACCTGCCTTTGATAAGGTATATTTCAGATTCACGTCTAAACTGTGCAGAAATAGCTCGAGCTGGTGGTTGTGATACTGAAGTGCCGTGGGTGGCAGCGATGTTAAAGCAGGAATGTCCACATTCGTGCGGTTTATGCGAAATTTCGTTTTGTAGTGACAAGAGTGAAATGTGTCCTTTATTGTCAGAAATATGTAACCACAAAAGCTGGTTTCATTTTATGGCGGAAATGTGCCCTCGAACCTGTAACAACTGCAACAAAAACGGGAAACCAACCATGCCGAAAATAGCTGACTGGCCATTAAATTTACATTAATCATATTTATAAATAATTTAAAATTCTGTTTTACTGGTTAAGAAAAACTAAGAACTTAAATTAATATATTGCTTCATCTGTGTTTAACACTTATGTTCTAAAGCCTTTTGAATTCCTCTCTTTTCTAATTTTTTTTGATATCATTTTCAAGCTTCTAAATTTAAAACGATAAGGCTTTGGAAAAGACACGACATTTAGGTGTAACTTAACCGTGCGTAATGGTAGTATGTAATATTTGTTACGAAGCCCGGTAAATAAATTTGTAAGACTTATTGTTTAATTTGACTTTCGAAACTAATGATAACAATTTTTGAGATCGCTTCCAGATTCACCTGCTAAATGCTCAAATTCCACAGAAAATTCAATTTTGTAATATGTCAAGGACAAACACTTATTTGATGGCGGAAAAAAATCGTCAGACTTTGGCTGCAAATTCTTTAAACCGCAAAAAAATTTTGCATGCATTTTTAAACTTCTGAACCAGAATAGATTAACTTATGCATTAAAGTTTTACCAGAATGTGAAACTACTAAAGTACTTCTGGTACAATTAACTGTACAGATTCATTTTTCGTTAAATTTGTTTATTTCAGAG